AAAAAAAATTACGAAAATCCATAACTCTCTGAACACTGCTTTTTCAGTAGAAGTGCACTAAATAATTTGTATTTAATAAAATAATGCAAAAAGTAGACAATATTCTGTAACCATCACAATATTTTTAGCAATTCTAGTGACGCAATATGAACCCAACCCTAAAACGTTATCCATATACACAATATCAAAACATTTTCTTAGGGCCCCCCAGTGGCACAGCCGTATGTCTGCGGACTTACAATACCCGTTTCGATACCCGTGGTGGGCAGAGCACAGATAGCCTATTGTGTAGCTTTGTGCTTAACTTCAAATAAACAAACATTTTTTTAGGAAGTGATTTACAAATCTCTGTACAGAAACCAACGTAATATAATACGTCATTTGAAAGACGAAAACCTTGCCTGTCTATTGGTTATAACCAATATACTCGTAAACGTAAGAGAGAACTACATGTATTGGCAAATCCTGAAAGAGAGGATGTGACAGGTGGGCGTGGCAGAAGGGGGGTCTGATTTTCTATTTGATGGCTCTGTAACCAAACAAAATTGAAGGCTAATAAAAATTTGATTTTTTCCAGCGATGACAATATTATAGTGAGTAATTTACGTTAAATTTACCAGTATCTAAATAAAACACTTATACATCATTCACAGGTAAGAAACAATACCTTCAGTTACATATCTCCATATACGTAATGTTAAAATGACCCCTTCCTGAGCACTAAACGGAGAATTACTGTATTTGTGTGAAGCTACACAAGGCTTATCTGTGCTAGCTAGCCCTAATTTTGAAATGATGAACTAGAAGGATCATAGTCTATGATGTTAAAGCTGATAGATAAAATAATATAATATTGTTGGATATATACTTGATTACATTAATCAAGTAGAATATAACTGAGGAATTACAGTTACAAGTCAAAAGCTTCAACCACAAACTGAGTTACCTATAACAACTATTTGATTGTATATCATGAAGGCTGCCAAGTTAAGCCTATATAAACATACTTAATTCCAATGTAATGAAAAGTTTGGTGGGATTCATTTTTAAAGAAATTTACTTTCAAAGACAACTTGGAATTGTAACAATAAGTACAATACAATTAAACTTAATGAAATGGTTCATCTTGCCAGTTAGAAGTAATGTAAAAAAAATTATTTTGGTACATTCATATTTTTAGTTACAAAACACTGTACAGACCATATATATAAAAGGATTGATATCAAGTATTTGACAGTATATACATTCTTTACGTATATTTGCAGATACAATTAGGTATTCTACAGATTAGATAAAGATTTGACTTCACAGCATTTGGTAATCTACAGATTATTAAACAATCTGATGACAGAAGTATTCGATATTCTAATGCTCATCTTCAAGCACTTGATGTATTTGACATTATATAAAAAAAATTATGAATTTCCATTTTTTCTTTTCAAACTGCGGTATATGTGAGGAATGTGAAACTGTCATAAAAATACAAAATAATTACCTTAGAAGATGCAATTAGAATTTCAAAACCACAAACCTGAAGACAAGCATGGTGGAGGGCTGTATTGCCTAGGTTGTCCTGAAAGTTAGCATCAGCTTTGTGCTCTAGAAGAACCTCTGAAAATAATTATTGTGTTATTGGAACCATACAATAAGTGTTAAATTTTGTCTTCTACTGTACAATAAAGAAGATAATTAAAGTACTTTAAATATAAATCATTGTGAAATACAAACATTATTTAAACTCAGTGTAAAACTGTGTGAACTTGTGTACTACGGTTCCAGCTACCAATCACTGCCATGGTTAGTAGCCTATATGATTTCCTAACTATAAATCATTAAGTGGTTAGTAATACTTACACAATTCTTTATTATTAATAGATACTAACTTCTAACATCTGACGTTTCTGCTGCTAACTTGCTGCCATCTACAGAAAAGTCCTGGAAGGATCCTTTCAATGGTTTGTTTGTTTTGAATTGCACGCAAAGCTACACGAGGGCTAACCAGCAATCTGCAGGTCGCGGGTTTGAATCCCCATCATACCAAACATGCCATGGGGGCATTATAATGTGACGGTCAATCCCACTATTCGTTGGTAAAAGATTAGCCCAAGAGTTGGCGATGGGTGGTGATGACTAGCTGTCTTCCCTCTAGTCTTACACTGCTAAATTAGGGACAGCCGAGCAAACCTTTCAATGGTAACGGTGGCCAGGATAGAAAACACTGTCATGCTACCAGGTTCTTCCCTGTTAGGCCTTGAATCAATTAACTTATTTGAAGACTTTCAAAAGGGATATCTGGATTTACTAGTTTGATTGATTGTGTTATTAGATAGATTGAAGAACAAAACTTTTTTCTTCTTGTGTAAGGTTCATATCCCATTATTTTTAATAGTATTATTCCAGTTTATTACATATTCTTCTCTGGCATGACGGGCTCTTACAGTGTTAAAAAGTCTTGTATATCTATTATGCTCCTGAATGCTAGCTTTTTGGTCTATTTCTTTCTCTAATATACCGAAGACCACATTCACAAGAAATATTGTAAATGGTGTTTGTAGTTTTCATTGGGTCTTTGGAGGTTTGGTGTAAACTAATTTCAATCGTGGTTTCTGAATACTGTTCTGACTTTGTTATGTTTTGCCACATGGGAATTTTATGACTATGTCCATAGTTTTCTCCTTGCCTATTCATGATGTTTATCTTCTTTATCAAGTGTTCCAGGTAACTAGTCTTAAGGAGGGTTGTAGTGATGTTTTTCTTCGTTATTTTTAACATCATCAACGTTACAACTCTTGTCGATTCTGGAAACTAGGCAGTCTACAAAGTCTGTCTTTACACCGTTGGAATAGTTTAATATATAGTTGAGGCATCTACCGGCATCTGTGGGTTTCCTTTTAAACTCCTGTGTGATACAAGTTGTCTTTTGATAACCACAACTAGTTAATAATTAAACTTAGAGGACTGTAGGCTACTAACCATGAAAGTGATCGAGTAAAATTATCATCTACATGTACCCACACACATTAATTTATGTGACTGCAGGGAAGTTATTATTTTAGTAACATAAGACCTTAAGAAAATAAAAGAAAATGTGCACAAGATTCAATCTTGCACATACACACACACACATACATATATACTGACAGTGGTAAGATATGAGGCAAGTGAGAACTAGAAGTTATAACAATATGGAATACTTAGTAACTTCTTTCTTGTAATGCATTGATTTAACTATTGTCAGTTGTTTCATTTACTAAGTGTTTCATCTTTCTTGTAATGCATTGATTTAACTAAAACACTGAAAATGACTTGCTTCCCCTTGACACTTTTCTGCTGCTTAAACCCTGACCTGTAAGATTTTATTTAAAAAGTTTTGAAATAACTATCCATTTCTAACAGAAAATAAAGTAATATTTCAGTTTATAGAGAGTTCTTCCTCAGCAAACTATATAATATATATAGGAGTAAAAAACTATGGCACGTTTTTAATTACTAGTCTAACATTTCATACAAATGAATACTGAAAGTAATTTTAGTACAAGAATTTAAAATATGGGCAATCTGACTGAAACCAGAAAAATAAACTTCAAAACGGACAATTCCGAGTAAACTATTCCACGAAAAAAAAATGTGCAAAAAAGGCTACTCATGCATGGTACTATTATGAATCAAATTATTGTGGTCATTAACATGTAATTACTTCAACTCTGAAGTTACTGAATAGAGAAACAAACAAGTAAGCCTACCAATGGACTTGCAGTGACCATTTATTGCTGCTAACATTAGTGATGTTTGGTTATACACATCAAAGGCATCAACCTTGGCTCCTTCTTGAAGTAGAAGTTGTAAACAGAGTAGGCTGTCGTGAAATGCTGCTATATGCAGTGGTGTTCTGTTGGCAAAATTAACATACTAATAGTTATATGTTCATATTAAAGACATATCAACAATTAAATTATGTAAAACAGTCGCAAGTGCTACAGATTTACAGTAGTGACTAAATTGTTTAATTAGTTTAGAAAGTCGACATCTGTATTATTATTATTATTACTGTTTACAATGGATTCGATGTCATGATGGAACTTATGTTTTCGTGTGTGTGACATAAAGTATAATTGCATCATTATCATAATAGACAGTCTTTTTTCAGTTCCTTCCAGTAATACACCACTGTATCGTTGTACGTGAGGAATTGTATCAATGTCAAGACTTCCTTATTCCAAAAATGTAGAAGAAAAAAAAAGACCTGAGAAAATAGAAAAGTTTGTGAGAAAGTAAATTTTGTGGGCGACTGCCAAGACTAATCTGGGAAAAAAAGTGTAAAATATGTGATCATGACTGCTTAAAATGTTAGCAATTATACATCTAAAAATAAGACCTCTTGTAATCCTACAGGCAACTTAAGAAGATTATAGGTTTTCCTGGTAATAAAATGAATTGAGAGGTCATGTATTGTACTTTTTTTAACCCTATCTAGACAGTACCAAAACCAATGAACTAATTTTAAATGTTTCAAAATTATCAGATAGAAATTGACAAGGGTTTTTACCATGATATCATCCAAAAGATTACGTTATCAGAACCATTTTTATCATGTTTAATACAAAAACTTTATGTTCACACAAACATTACATAAAAATGGCATTTACCATAAACTGACTCCATGTATTATGTACCAATCTCTTGCTAGCTTTCAGTACTAAATAAACATAATTATAACACAAAACATACTACTCTGACCATTACAATGGTATAACAATTTATTGTGTTTTAAAGTTCAGTAGAAACCTACGACTGCTCTAGAGTAACCATACCTGTTTTTCTTGTCTCGTAGGTGTACAATCTCCTTTCCAAAATGGTTTAGTAGTAGCTCTGTACAAGTTTCACTCCCTTGAAACCTAAGATTCAGGGCAACCCAATGTTATCCATGCTACATAATTAGAAGGGCTACAGATAACTTATAACAGATAATTATACAGAATGGAGTAGAAGTAACATCCCACATGTAATGATTTTGTTTCTGGATGTTATAGGTATGACATTTTCTGACACTATGACTCCGAGTTTCCCAAAACTGACTGTTGTATAAAAGAATAGTTAAAAACAGGATTAAAAACATAACACATAATATTTTATCATGGTCTAGTTTGCATCATTTGATGCATTACACTAGTACATTGTGTGTAAATACATCTTTGTGACATCATATGTAAAAACCTTAAAATAAATATAAATCAATCCCTTTCATTTTACTAACTTTTTAATAGCTTCCCTTGTTTTAACGATAATTAATTTTAACATCTTTATTTTCACTGTAATGTTCGACATTTCTAAACTGTTTATACATGTGATGTAAACTGTCCACATAAACCTATTCTAGAAACCACATTGCACCCAGTTTCTTCTATGTATAGACTGTTACAACCTGTACCACTCATTCTTAAATAATAATAATTTTTTTTTTTACATCAATGGGGAAAAAAATCTTTATTAAAAATTTTCTGGATTAATTTTTTAAAGGTGGACAACAAAGTTTTAATAACAACAGTTTCTGAGCTTATGTTGTGCAGATTTCTAACTTAGAAAAGGATTAAGCATCAACTTGCCAAGATTGTTTGAGATTAACTCAATAGGCCGGGAGTAATTAACTAACAGGCTTTTTACGGAAGCTGTGTTGTTAGACACCCACCCCGTAAATGGAAGTCTCACATGTGGAGTACTACTTTTGCCACACTGCATAGTTTATGTTAGAAGTTCTGATTAATTAACAACTGTATTCCTCTGTCACACCACACCCAAAGAGCAATAAAGTAAACTATGTACTAGAATTAATAGCTTTCTCTATATCTCATTTACAATAAAAAAAATCACCATTTTTCTTGTACTTGTTACATATGATTAATAACAAAATACACTAATTCACATCAAAACTGAATGTTTGCATCATTTTCTTTTAAACTCATAAACCTGGCTTTCTATTTACACCTGAATATCAAAGATCAAGTTGTGTTTGAACTACTTTTACATGTTATTTGTCAATTTAGTATACAGTGTAATATCACATAAAACAAAATCAATACAATTTAAGTACTAAACGTAATCTGTTTGGATCAGTGTAGTATTTTAAATCCCAAATACCAGTAATATTGGAAATAAAACTTAGAATGTTGCTGAAATGTTTGTTCATTAATAAAAAATCCCAAATACCAGTAATATTGGAAATAAAACTTAGAATGTTGCTGAAATGTTTGTTCATTAATAAAAAATAGTTTCGTAGACATATAACAAACTTTATTCCAAGTCCTCAATGAATTCTTTTTACTTATTTTTTCAATTGATTTCACAGCAACAAAATTTTTGAAATGAAAAATAATCTTTGGTGTAATTCAGCGATATCTTTAAACTCTGAATGTTATATTTTTAATTCCACGTGCATAATCTGTTGATCATAATGAGTAAAATGTATCCTTTTTTCCTCTATCACAGATCTTTTTTTTTGTTTTATTGAAAAGTACAGGGGTTAAACTATGTGTATAATTAAATGTTTTGAGACAGTTTGACTGGGTAATAAAAAATTTTATTATAAATGTCCAACGTTTGGTTTGTTTTTGAATTTCGCGCAAAGCTACACGAGGGCTATCTGCGCTAGCCATCCCTAATTTAGCAGTGTAGGACAAGAGGGAAGGCAGCTAGTCATCACCACCCACCGCCAACTCTTGGGCTACTCTTTTACCAACGAATACTGGGATTGACTGTCACTTATAATGCCCCCATGGCTGAAAGGGCGAGCATGTTTGGTGTGACGGGGATTCGAACCTGCGACCCGCAGACTGCGAGTCGAGCGCCTTAACCACCTGCCCTCCAACGTTTGGACAAGATTTTGTCATCCTCAGGTACATTATTCATTACCCAGTCAAATCGTCTCAAAACTTTTTATTTTCTAAAAAGAGGGTTCCTCGTTATCAAGTATGTGGATAATTAGAATTTCTTTTGAATTCCCTTAATTTTCTAAAATTTACACATTCATATTCTTAGTCTGGTCAAAGTACTTTCCCAGGTTAACAACATAATATTAATTCTGTAAAGTTAGGATGGCTAGTAAGAAAATCTATATATATCAGTATGACATGTACGTAATTTAAGGGATTTTAAGAAATTTAAAAGTTCTTTTTCATGTGTGTGGTGTCAAAAAATAGATGTAACCAGAATATTGAACTTAGCTTTATTAATACAACATATATTTTTAATGGAAGTTTATACAAGTGATTTCTACAACAAATATCTTCCATAGTACAGCAGCATGGTTAAAAAGTTTTCCAGATTCTAGGCTATTTTCAAAAATATATACATCTGTTCTAGTTATATTTTGATGTTCAAAAAAATTTTTTTTATGGGAGGGGGGGGGGGAGCCTAAGTAAAGATGTTTTAGAGCAGAAGTTCACGAAACAAATGGTGAGGAATTTATTAGTGACAGAAGATGTATATGTGATCAACTGGAAACTTATGTTACACTGTAATTAAAAAAAAATTATTTGATGTGCTTAGTACAATTGCATACACCTAGACTAGTCAGTTAATGGAGAAAAAAAAAATGTTTCTTTGTGTTATCAAGTTGAAAATGTATAAACAAACTATGGGATTCAAGTAGTTCATC